GAAGGCCAGACTGATGAGACATGGCGTGTTGCAGCAAACAAAGGAGGACTCTGACACACTTGAGTTCCATGTTCAAATGCCATTTAACGTTCGAACGTCCTTTGGAATCAATTGAATAACAGACTTCTGCATAGAGTGTAAAAATAAACTTTGACAAAAGACCACTTGAGTGGAAAAGGTCAGGCCTCATCTAGCGTTCGAACGCATATAAAGCAAGACTAGAAGAAACGTTCAAACATCAGACAACGTTTGAACGTCCCTAAAGCAAAACAGAAGACAACGTTCGAACGTCGATTAACGTTCGAACGTCCTCCACAGACTGCCTATAGAGTAGTTAGTTTCCATGGGCGACAAATACTATTCACACATCCTCTCATATCTCCTATCCCCCTCCCCTTCCTTGCCTATAAATACTCTCATGTTGGGAGCTTAAAGGGCATCCTTTTTTCTTGTAAAATAGAGAGCTTTTCTTCTTAGCAATTTTTCTCTTGTAAATTAGAAAGCTAGTTTATATACGTTGCTTGTTTCATTTTAGTATCAACCATGATGGAGGCTTAGACTCCCCTTGTAGTTGAAGTCATTTATTTATTTATGTTAAGTCTTTACATTTATGTTGTTACAACCATGATGGAGGCTTAGACTCCCCTTGTAGTTGTACTTGCTTTTATTTACAAGTATCAAGAGAGATAGCTCATCTTTTGGTTGTGGTAAAAATCCTCCAAAAGTAACTAGTTTTCTTCTACTTTTATTGTTCATGTATTTCACTTCCACTGCTTGAGCATCCTTCTTTCTTAGAAGAGTGAAACTCTTCCACTTTTCTAGAGCTTTACTAAAGCCGTGAAGGGTGAAAAGTGATTCGCTTATTCTTCATTGAAGATAAGCTCTTTGTTTAGTTTGTTTCACTTAGTAGCTCCTCTACTTTGAGGGATGAGTGTCACTCACTTTTCTAGCTTTGCCAAGGCCATGAAGAGTGAGTAGTTCCTTATTCACTCTTTAGTAAGAGGTGATGAATATGTAAAAATTATCCGGAAGTTATGTTTGTGCAACTCCTTTATGCTTTAATGTTTTATATTCCACTTGCTCATTGGATGATTGAATGCATCTAGCAAAGTTGAGGTACTTTGTATAACTAAGGGCTCCCACTAGGATACGGATGACTCTTGCATAGAAGAACCCGTTGGTTCAAGGCAAGCACCCCGGCTAGCTCTTCATGACAACCTTTCAATCTCTACTATTATTGCGCTTTATTCAAAGGATGGACCATTAATGTCATGGTTGGATGACTTGTAGAAACACTTGCTTGTTTGTGGACGGGTTAAGTTTCGGCACAAACAATTCTTGTAAACTTCTAGAAAAGCATCGGAATCATGTGCTTAATTCTCACAGTCCATCTTTATCTTCTGATTAACTTGTTGTTGACACGGGAGTTAATTGAATTAGAAAGCAAAAACATAATAAATCGGATAGTCAATTACATGTCCTGATCCTCGAAATAAAGGGTGGCTGTTACATTTTGAGAATCTTATATTTTGTCTAGAAAACTCTCGAAAAGAATCTTTTATTCTATTCAAGAAACCCCACCACTCCAAACTCTCGAAATTTTCAGTTACTTGGTCTCTATTATTGCTTACTTCAAAACACCAATCATAGTTTCCCGTGGATTCGACTCTGGACTTAACCGAATTATTACTACAACTTGACCTCCTGCACTTTGGTGTACACATTTCGGATCAAGTCAGTGCCAAGTACATAACTCATGATATGTCTTTTCGCATTACTTATGATATAACCTTGGCCATTACTTGATCTTGGTCAGCAAATATAGTGATAGGCTTCTTCCTAGACATTGCTAGTAGGAATGTCTCAAACAACTATTGAAACAATGTTGTCATTTCATCATACAACAATGCAGTGTCAAATATCAGTCTTCCTAAAATTGTTGAAACCAAAAAAACATGCAAATGGTCGATACTCCTTATCTGCTCGGAACGTTGTATCAAATGAGAAAACATCCCCAAAAGTGGTCATAATCAATAATCATTTTTTGGTTAGCCCAAAAAATATTTGTGATTCTCTCATCGACATCAAATTGAATTCCATAATAAAAGGATGGATTTTTAACCACTTCAGTTTGGAAATATTTCAGCAAACTACCTACTTCACCATATCTCAACTTTCTCTACCTTCTTTCATGGATGTAATTCTTTTGGTCTTACCGAGTGAATCCTAAACTTTCCCTTCCGCCTGCTTAGGTACTCATAAGTTTGTATGATTCTTTGATTGATATCCCTCAATCCTCTGTCATATCCACATTAATGTCCTGCATTGTAGTAACCTTGCTTTGAGATTACATCATATGCACACATTCACTAAGGGTGCAAAGGGTGATTGTGGATATCATCCAATTTGACTACAACAAATTTTTCAATATCCCGATTAAGGGACACACACATGTGAGCTGAACAATTTGTACGTGGCTCTGCTCGAGGTTTCACTATTTTTCAATCCCTTTTATCCAAGTTTCTTTGCACCTCTTTGCAACAAACGCATTTTTGATATGTTAATACGCCATCTTTTGTACTTTTGTTGTGATAATCTTTTTTCACTATTGATATCCCACAATCCTATGCTATATCCGCATTAATGCCCTGCATTGTAGTAACCTTCCTTTGAGATCACATCATATCACACATTCACTAAGGTGCAAAGGGTGATTGTGCATATCGTCTAATTTGACTACAACAAATTTTTCAATATCCCGATTAAGGGATACACACATGTGAGCCGAACAATTTGTACGTGTCTCTGCTCAAGGTTTCACTTTTTTCAATCCCTTTTATCCAAGTTTCTTTGCCCCTCTTTGCAACAAAGGTATTTCTGACATATTAATACACCATCTTTCTTACTTTTGTTCTGGTAATCTTTTCTCATACTAAATCCAACGAAGCCACCATGATGTTATAAAATACATATGCATCTTCGTCCGAGTCAAAGTGCATACCAATACGTGGAGTGCTCTCAGATACATTAGTCATGGTATACTTTATCATAGTTGACAAGACCTAGAATCAAAAACAAAAGAAGTACAGTCAAAATCCAAAAATATTATAGCTTGGTTAGATTAAAAAAATGTAATGTATTTGATATAAAAATACAATATTATATGTGCATGCATAATGGTTTCAAAACCAAGTAGCATCCAAAATTTTGTTGGCACATAATGAGTTTCTACTACAACATTATTGAAATTTGTACCAAAACAATATTAAATAGATTAATTTAGGAATCAGATAACAGTGTAAGGGTGTATGTCTAATTTTATGTATATATATATATATATAATCCTAATATTCTATGGAAATAAGCACAATTAAAAATTGGGAAATGACAAACCTATAAAGAATTCAATGTGTGTGTGTATAAAAGACCAAACCTTGTTGTCCGTTTGTGTAAAAGATTGAATCCAATTGTATATGTGTGTGTAGAGAGAATGTCATTGTCTGTGTGTGTAGAGGAGGTGCTGAATATTTTATTGTGTTCAAGGATTTAGCGGGTGTTAAAAATTTGGGATTTGTTTTTTTACTATGTGGGCTTTTAATATAACAAAACCATGTGTTGTTATTTGAGGAACAACAAACGAGCTGAACCCATTCAACTATCAGTATCCTCTGGAACCATTAACCCTCTAAATAGCTCTCTCACTCTCTCTCACTCTCTCACACACACACACACATATACATACACACACACTCAACGCCTTACACACAAAAAAAAGTGCAAACCTTAACCTCATCTACCCCTACAACTCCCTACATGACTGCCACCACCTCCATCAACTAACCCCAACCTGTAGCACAACCACATGCCCCTTATTCTCCACCGCTATCGTGAATAGAGAATTGAAGAAGAAGAGTAGAGATAATTTCACAATCAAAAATCAAACCTAATTATTCATCAATTAAACTTTGGAATCAAGATGCCGAATTTGATCTGGTAGGTGATTTTCAGTTGGTGCCATGAATTGGAGCTTGATTGCCCATAAAATTTACCACAATCAAGAATTTGTGTGTTATGTTATTTATGTATATGTGTGTTTGAGAGATAGACATTGCGTATGTGAGAGGGAAATAGACGCAAATTATTGGTGTGTGCATGTGGTTTTGTGAGACAAAACTAGGGAAAGACTAGTGAAAAGAGAGATATTCTCCGTGAAGGAGAAAAAGAATGGAAGATAAAGGAAGGAGAAGGTGTGTGTTTGGTACTATGTTTAATAATATTCTTTATAACGAATAGTGGTGTTTGAATGTAAGAGTTATTTTGAAATATAAAAATGTCCATCAATATTGTCACGTGCGAGGCACATGATATTTTTCGTCTTTTTTTTAAGGGAAGTTAGGGCCAAAGACCATGTCAGTCAAATGTGAAAACTTTGAGGTTAAATTGATGAAATTAAAAGTTTGAGGACCAAAGTTTCACTAATGATAAACTTTATAGGAACTATGAATACAATTTATACTATGAATTTTTCAAACCTTCAGGAATAAGTAAAGGTGTTAAACGTGTTGGGTTAAATGGTTACGTATTAAGTTAAACGGGTGGTGGATGAAAAATATATAAACTCATATACGACCCGTTTAAAAAATGGATAATACGACACAACTCGTTTATCTCACTTAATTTTAATTTATTATTATATTTTTGTGGTTGTCACAAAATTAAAAAAAAAATATGTGACTATTACTATCACCAAAAAAAAATTGCTTAATATTTTAAAATAATTATTAATTTATTATTATATTAATTTTATTTAATCGGATAAACAGGTGATAAATGAGTTGATCGAACTCACTCGAACATGACTTGTTTGTTCCGAACACAACCTATTTATTAAACGTCTCTAACGGATTAATTTATTTATCATCCAAAACGACAGCCATCGAGACAAAAGAAAACTAATTAACACTGATTATAAGAGATGTGTCTCCATTACTTTTTGGCCGTTGCTCTCTCTTGTGAACTGAAATTCGTTCCTTCTTCTTCTCTTTAGAATTATGGTTTTGTAATGGCGAGTCTACGCTGTGGATTGCTTCCATCAAATCATCTTGTTTCGGACACATTTCCCAACCTCAACTGCCACAAATCCAACCTTTTCACACCAAAATTCAAATTCCAAGTCTCAACGGTTGGAAATCATGGTTTCAAAGACACCAAAGTGTCAAGCCAGAATAGCTCACACAAACTTCTAGTTACAGCACCTGAAAATGCAACAGGTTTTAGCATTCCAGATCGAAATGGCACGAATGAGCATGGCGAGTCTCAGTCACCAGTAAAACTCCTCAGAATAAACCAGAACAGTCCCTATGATTGCAAACAAATTCATGGTCAGTTTGTTAAATGGAGTATGATAAAATCAAGCAGTATGATTGGAAATAAGCTTACAATTTTGTATCTGAAGAAGGGATCATTGGATGATGCGCGGCGATTGTTTGATAAAATTCCTGACAGAACACCACAAGTGTATGCAATGATGATAGGATCGTATTGTCGGTCTGAGCAATGGTATGATCTTTTTTCGGTACTCAGTTTGTTGGTTGATGATGGGTTGTTACCTGATAGATACCTGGCACCCACGATTCTCAAAGCGTGCTCGGCAGTTAAGTTGTTGACGAGTGGTAAAATGGTTCATGCACATGTTGTGAGGAAGGAGATGGGAGCAGATGTTTTTGTTGGGAATGCCCTCATAGATTTGTATGCAAATTGTGGGGATTTAAGATCTTCACGATGTGTGTTTGATACAATGAAAGAGAGGGATGTGATTTCATGGACTTCCCTTGTTACGGCTTACATGGACGGAGGCCGTGTAAATGAGGCTAATGAGGTTTTTTGTTCGATGCAACTGAGTGGAGTGAAGCCTGATGTAATCTCTTGGAATGCACTTATATCGGGCTTTGCTAGAAACATAGAGATTGAAATGGCTATTCAATGTTTGGATGAGATGCAGGAGAAAGGGTTGAAGCCAAGGGTTACATCCTGGAATGGTGTTATTTCAGGTTGTGTCCAAAATGGATATTTTGAAGACGCTTTGGATGTTTTCAGTGACATGCTATCAGTTGCTGAGAATCCTAATGTTGTTTCGATAGTGAGTATCCTTCCAGCCTGTGCAGGCTTAAAACACTTAAAGTTAGGCAGGGAAATTCATGGATATGTTTTTAAAAGTGAGCTCTGGGGGAACATTCATGTGAAGGGATCACTAATTGACATGTATTCCAAATGCGGAAGAAGTGATTGTGCAGAAAAGGTTTTTGTTCAGGAAGAGAACAAGAACATTGCCATCTGGAATGAGATGATCGCAGCTTGTGTAAATGACAAAAAAATGGAGGCTGCATTATCACTTCTTAGATCAATGCAAAACGATGGTTTAAAACCTGATGAAATTACCTACAACACATTGCTCGCTGGGTATGCTAGAAAGGGGAAAAAGAATGAGGCATATGCTGTACTAAATCAAATGACCCAGATGAATTTGAAGCCAAACATAGTCTCTTTCAATGTTCTAGTATCTGGTTATCAGCAATGTGGGCTTACTTATGAAGCTCTGAAATTGTTCCGGATTATGCAATCACCTTCCAATGATGGCTTGACCAATGGAGCATTAAATGCAGCATTACAACCGAATTCTGTTACAAGTACCAGTGCTCTTGCAGCCTGTGCTGATATAAATTTACTGTGGCAAGGAAAGGAAATCCATGGTTTTGTTTTGAAGAATGGTTTTGAGGCTAACATCTTTGTCTCAAGTGCATTGATTGATATGTATGCAAAATGCGATTATATAGCTTCGGCAGCTAAGGTATTCTGGAACATTGACAATAGAAACACAGTTGCATGGAATTCTTTAATCATGGGCTACATTAACGATAAGCAGCCTGAAGAGGCTTTTAAACTCTTTCATGCAATGCTGTGTGAAGGCCTTGACCCAAGCCCAATTACCTTTCTCATACTTCTTCCGGCTTGTGTTGATATGGCGGCGCCAAATGTGGGGAGAGAAATTCATGGCTATGTGATAAAGAGTCAGCTTAACGAACTCAAAAACAGCCTTGCAAGTGTTTTGATAAATATGTATGGTAAATGTGGTAGCATTACTGAGGCCAAATTGGTGTTTGACTCTCAAAATGAAAAAGATATTGCTATATGGAATGCCATGATCTCCACTTATTCGGCTCATGGGATGGTGAAGGATGCTGTCGCATTATCTGAACATATGAAACTATCTGGAACTTTGCCTAACCATGAAACCTTTGTTGCACTTCTTTCAGCTTGTACCAGTGGTGGTTTGGTAGAGGAAGGATGGCAAATTTTCAATGCAATGGAGAATTGCTATGGCATTTCTGCGAGTTTGGAACATTACACTTGCATGATTGGCATTTTGGGTGCTGCCAGTTTATTGGACGAGGCTCTTGACCTCATCAAACAAATGCCTTATGTTCCAGATGCTAGGCTGTGGGCTACTCTCCTACAAGCTTGTAGAGTTCATCAAAATCCAGAAGTAGAAAGCAGTGCAAAAGCCCTCTTCTAGCTTGAACCAAATAATGCCTCTAATCATTTGCTTCTATCTAATACTGATGAAGCATCAGGGATTTAGGGTTCTGCAAAAGAATTTGAAGAAGGCACCTAACAAATGCTGGTATAAAAATACATGCTTTCAATGTTTTCATTTGAAGCAAGGCTTTGTTGCTGAGAAGAGCTCGGCACAGTTGGTAAGTTCAAAGGTTTGTTATTTCCAGGTTGTGACCATCTTGGAAAGAAACACCAGGTTGATCTTTGAATCTGGAAGTACCTATAAACTATGACCCATTTTTGGAGGAAGCTTAACATAGCAGAAAACATAATAGAAAGGAATTCTACTTGTAAGGTGTTGGCTGAAGCAGATCTCACTCTCAATAATCTGTTCAATGCTTTGCTTTTTGATAATCAATCGACTTCCTGATGCTTTTAATTTCATATAACTGTGAATTCAAATGTTTCTGTGATATTTTTGGAAGTGCCCGGTGTTTGCACTGCATACTTGGAGCCATCTTTTGCCAAGAACCTCTGAGGATTACTAGAACCATGACATATTAAAGAATTCAAGGCATAGTCATTGGGTATGAGCTGCAATTAGATAGCTGTATTAGTAAAAAGACTTATTTAATATATAAAGAAACATATCTGTCCATCTGGTTTTGCACACTTCATTTGTACAAAAACAAGGGGTAAGTCCTCTGCGAAAACATAATGGAAAGTAAAAAGATGCTCTCACAATTGTGGAAAACCTGCTGTTTCTCTTGGATTAGGCATTACTTAGAAAGGGGAATGAATTTCTATTACCATGTGCCAAATATTAGTTTCTTTCATGAATATTACCTTGAAATATAGCAAGTAGAAGAAAATAATGATGTAAGTTGTTCTTGATCTGGTCCAGGTTAGTTTTTCCAAGCCCGTAATAAATTTAAATGAAATTCACCATTATATCTTCCGGTACATGATGCAGGATATACTCAATTTATGGTTTTGAAAATAATAGGGAAACTAGAAGTGAGATCAGTTTTTTTTTAATCCAGAGCCCCTCAAGTTAAATTTTGTCTTAGTTTTTGGATGTCTTGTCCAACTATGATATGTCCTTTGTAAGTTTTGACATTTTTAATAAAAGAAAAAAAAATTGTCTAGTAATAATATGATATGATGTAGTAGAAGAATGTTATTCGCAGTTTCCTTTTCAACTATAGAATTACAGTGGATTTCTAATTTTCATAAGAGTTAGAGTGCGCCAATAAAAAACGAGATATTGAATGGCATGATTAATTTAATTAGACTCGAAGCCAAACAAACTTATTTAATTAGACACTCACTGCATGCCAAGAGAATTTGGTAATGGAATTGGCATTACTAAGTAATGCTAGTCTAATATTTGGTACATGGTAATAGAAATTCATTCCCTTTTCTAAGTAATGCCTGGTCTCATGAAATGTAGGATTAGCCATTTCCAAATTAGACATGTTATTGCTCATTCTCATCCCACTGGTAAAAAGCCCAGATACACGGATCAAAGAAAACCCGATCCCGCTCGGCTCAAATTCATGGGGCCGAACTATTGGGTAAGAAGATACGAATTCTCTACCCCCCCCCTCCCTCTCCCTCTCCCTCTCCCTCTCCCTCTCTACTCCTATCTATCTATGCATACTTATGTATATACAAATACAAATCTGTTAATTTGATATTGAAATCTGCTCTGTAAATCATTAATTTGTTAATTTTTGTTTGGATTTCAATTATCGCACCGTTAAGTTGCACCCCCGAATTGCAATGACGATGGACAAATGGTCAAGTTTTTGTAAGAATTCCCCTCTTAGTTTATACATTCCAAATGCCGTTCATGTGTGAAGGGTTCCGAATTTCTGATAATGATTTGATTAGTGGATTTGTAAAACTCGGGAAAATTAAACTTTTATGAAAAATAACAAAATAGTAATTAGTCGTTACGAATTAAAAAACTAAATTTTTCTAAAACTCAAATGATGAAATGGATTTCACCGTTGGATTCACCTCATTATATCTAGCTACCTAGTCAATTTTCGAGACAGTCGAATTTTCACGCGACTAAAATAAATGTGATCACACTTTTTCGATAAACCTAAAAAATAATTTAAAGTTAGTTTAATATTGAACCTAACCCACGACGAGATTTAATTGATTCGGAATAAAATCGGATCAGAAAAAGTCGGGACGTGTGACACATATTGGGTCAAGCAATTGGGGAGTATAAAAGGGGGAAAAATCAAATTTTCTCCTCATTCTTTAGCCATTTTTTCGGAAAGAGAGAGAGAGAGAGAGAAAAGAGAGGAAAAACTCAAAGTTCTCCCACTTTCTCCTTTCGATCTGTGACGATCCGACCGTTGAATTTCTTTGAGTCAAGAATTAAAGTTGTTCTACGCGATGAGATCTACAAAACAATACCAAAGATTATGAGTCTCTCCACAATTGCAAAGACGAAAATTTCGGGATCAAGTTTTGAAGACTTGATTTGGGATCTTTGGAGCCTCTTCTACAAAAGGTAGGGTTCCTCTCCTAACTAAGTTTATTTCCAACCTAGGGTTCAAATATGAAATGGATAGGGTGTTAAATATGTATTCTCATGTATAACACATACATAGTGTAGTTGAAACGTATAAAATGAGTATAAGAATATGCTAAAATCAATTCTTGTATGATTAGGCTCGATGAAATTGCTTGATATGAATTTCATGAAAAATATGTTGTTTGAGCATGCTATGTGTTTACATTTGTGCCTTATAGGTATTTGATGAAATGCCTATAAATAATTAAGTGTGTTATTTGAATGAAAATGTTGTAACATGCTTAGTGGTGTTGGGAAATATTATCATATGTTTTATGATATAATTGACATTTGAGAAATTGGGAATGTTTGTGAAAATTGAATATGTTCATAATATGTTAATGATATGATGAACATGATATTGTAATTGCAATTGTACATTACATTTGCTCATATACGGGTAACATCACATTCGTGGGCATTTCGACATAAGTGTGGGTGTGTGTGTATGGTTTTGATCAAACATCATCATTGGTGGATTGATACGTGGGCTCGAAAAGGTTGGACCTAAGTTCGACTGAGTCACACGGGTTGCATTGAAAATATGTGTCGGATATAGCAAGAAAGGATAGAATCTCCTACGAGTGCAAGACCCAGTTATTTGGTTCATTCACTTGATCAGAGGTGAAATTATAAAAAAGTGTGTCGATGTACTCAAAACTGGAGGTGTGAGACATCAAATACCATGTCAGTGTGGTAGACAGTTTGTGTGTGACCATGAATTTACATACCCAAGAAAGACACAAAATTTTATAAAATGGTCATTGGATAACTAACATCAATGGCAGAGGCTTTAAATGTCCAGATGCATACGCATGACATTGCATGTGTTATGAGACCCAGTGGAGGGCTCGGGTTTGCATTGCATGTGTGAGTTCCATCTCATGACATAGCATGCAAGGTGTAGCATTCATTTATGAAATGTATGTTCTTGAATGGATGCTTGATGTGATGAATTTACATGTGACATTTCATATGCATCTAGGTTGGGAGTAACCTCCTTAGGATATACCTTATTTAGCATGGCTCACCCTTTATAGGAACATATTTCAGGTGTTGGACAAGCGCCAGTGGATGGCCCTCACTTGGACCCTTGTTGATGACGGAGCTGGAATGTGAATTTTGAATTGCATTTTGTAAATCAATCATGTAAATTTGTTTTGAACTTGTATATTGGTAATAAAGTGTGTAATGGGACTTTATTGGACATTGTTTTCATGTAAATGAATGAATGTATCTAGTATGGTATGAGTTTGGATGAAGATGAATTGAAAATTGGAAGGATTGGGAAAGATCTGGGCTCAGGTACCAGCACCACGCTATCAGATAACCCAAGTACCGATACATAGGCTTATTGGTACCAGTACATAGATTCTAGCGGGCCTATATGCTCACAGTCATCGGTACCCAGAGGCAGTGGGCCCAGTTACCAGTATCAAATGCTTATAGGTACCGGTACCTTGCAAATAGAAGGTTCAGGTACCGGTACCACGTACACAAGGTACCAATATCACTTCACAAAAATTGAAATTTTGAATGTAACTTTACTAGGCCTTCACCTTTTGAGCTCTTTCATTTGAATGATGTAATTGGTTAAATATTAAGCCCTAATTGATGAGATTTGGACATTCGAATGGTCATACGATTAATACGTGAACAAGTTATGTGTTGGGTAGACCTTCTGTGCAAAGGAGACTCTACCAGGATTCCGTTTTGGTTAGAATCCCGATGAAGGGGATGTGATGACGTGGTGTCGGGTTATACGACATTCATGGGTACTTCACAGGTTGATGGGTGATCAACGGGTTGAGAAAGGATTCTCGGATTTAGAGGTGTCACAGGATTAGTGTCACGGGGTCAAATTTTCACTTGTGATGGCACTAAGATCCAACACTCAGTCTTAGCTAACGCACACAATCGCTCACAGAAGCACAAAATTGAACAGAATATGGGCAAGAATCAAAATACAGCAGACACACATGATGATAGGCCAATCAGCCAGAATTTTTTACTTCTCAATAAGCTTAAAGGATTCTAGCTAGAGGTTTGCTTACAAAATATGCCCAAAATCTCTTGGTTCACTGCAGACCCTAGAATGCATTTAAATAACACACAATGGTGATTACAAACCGAACTGCTAAGGCAATTCTAGCACCAACTAGCTCTAGCCAACTCAGTCATGCAATTGACATCCCCAACTTCTAGGATTTTAGGCAACAATTAGATTCGTCCTCAAGGACCGTGGGGGTTCATCCACTCCCCACAATTATGTTGAATGTTGAGCATGTGCTACTGATCATGGCTGTTTTTGCTGAGCATGGCCGATGTAGTTGTAACTATTGCTTAACTTGCCCAGCAGCTGCCCGTAACTATCTGCATGTTGTGTTCACATGCCAACAAATTCCCCTCATGCTGTGTACATGCCAATAATTGCACATAACAGCCTCATCTAAGGCGCGCATGCCACCAGATACTCATAACTGCCTTGCATGACATGCACATACCTTCCTTGTGAGCCCACAACACTTGATTTGCCTTGCATGCCAAGCCATGCCCAACCTATGGCTTGGTTATCCAACCTAGCAATACACCATAGTTCAAGCCTATATGGCTAGCCTTGCTTGTTTGATTGTGCCCAACGTGCCAATGCATGTGTTGCCTCCCTCAGCCATGCACAGGGTTTCCACCAACAATGGGTCTGACCAATCATTGGCACCACTTCTCAGATCTCGAACTTTGGAATGCATTGCCCTACACCCATGACAAAAATTTGTTAGGGTCGTGCCTTAAAGTGGGCCAAGGCTTAGGGGCATATGGGTCATTGCGGAAGGTGGCCTGTCACCCTTTTTCTCGAAGCACCCCTTTATAATAAGCATAATTATGGGGAGTGGTAGAACCCCCACAATCCTTGAGAAAGAATCTAATTGGTGCCTACAATCCTATCAATTGGGGATGT